TTGGTCATGGCTTTCAAAACTCGCTTTTCTGCTGAGGGCTCACACCTGATGCAAACCATAAGCAGAGAGCAGAAAGTCCACATCACTGAACGAAATTTAACCAAGAAACTCCAGCTGAGTTTCCCCTTTTATCTAAGTACTTTCAACATTTATGAAAGGAAACTTCAGCTTCAAGAATGGTAATTGAGAGAAAAATGGCCATGGGTCTTCAATACTTTCAGGGCATAAAAACAAAGACACTCACTGGACAAGAAAGAATTTAATGACATAACTTGTAAAGTTGATGCTTTGCTTCTATTTCTATACTACCCATCACGAAAAGAGGAACAAAACAGGGATAGTGAGTACAAGTTCATGTGGACAATTTGTGGTTTTTTCTCATTTACAATGTTTACCATCCAACTAGGTATGTGAAGGTCATTGTCACAGACGCTCAATTAAAAGAAAACCTCAGCATATCCACAGCCAGGCTTGTCAGTACCTGCATTTTCTGCACGTTGTGCTTTTCTTCTCTCTCTTTCATGTTTTCTTTTGCTCTTCTTTGCTGCAACTATCTTTTCCCAGTGCCTCTGTTTCCGCAAGACATTTTTCTTATGTCATCCATAAAACAAAATATTTGAGAACCTCATAAGCATAAAAATTCAATGTTATAACTATTAAAGTTTAGAGAAAATAACAGCCTCTTAACATTTCAATGTTAAACTTTAATATTTAAGAATATTTCATTTCAATATTTAAATTTCAACATTTAAAAATCAAAATTTCAAGTATTCAAATATTGAAAACTTCACCATTTCCATAACACAACAAAATGTGGCAAGTCCTCAAAGAGAAGGGAGTAGCAGACTATCTTACTTTTCCTGAGGAACTTGTGTGCAGGCCAAGAAGCAAGGTGGCTAGGTAGCTCAGTGAACACAGTGATAGAGTGCCAGCCCTGGAGTCAGGAGGACCCAAGTTCAAATGTGACCTCAGACATTTGACACATACTAGCCGTGTGACCCTGGGCAAGTCACTTAACCCTGACTGCCTCACCAAAAAAAAGAAAGAAGTAGCAACAGTTAGAACCGAATATGGAACAACTGATTGGGCTTTTTTTTTCTGGTTGTTCTTTTTTTTGGTGTAGTAATGGGGCAAAATGACTTGCCCAGGGTCACACAGCTAGAAAGTGTCAAGTGTCTGAGGCCACATTTGAACACAGGTCTTCCTGAATCCTGGGCCGGTGCTCTATCCACTGCGCCACCTAGCTGCCCCTAACTGATTGATTTAAAATTGGAAAAGGATGGGCAGTTAGGTGGTACAGTAGATAGTGGCCCTGGAGTCAGTAAGGACTCAAATTTAGCCTCATACACTTACTAGCTGTGTGACCCTAGGCAAGTCACTTAACCCCAATTGGCTAAAAAAAAAAAGATTAGAAAAGGAGTACAAGAAGTCTATACATTGTTACCTTATTTGTTTAAATTAAAAGCAGAGTACATCGTGTAAAATGCCAGGCTGGACGAATCAAAAGCCAGAATTAAGGTTATAGAGAGAAATATATGCTCTGATTTATCCTGCCTACAGCTTGTTTGTGCCCAGTTATTTGCATGTTATCTCCCCCATTAGACTGTGAGCTCCTCAAAGGCAGTGACTGTCTTTTGCCTTTCTTTGTATCCCCAGTACTTAGCACACTGCTTGGCACATAGTAGGAGCTTAAGTGTCTAATCAACTATCAGCTTCAAGACAACTTGTGAGGTAGGCAAGGCTGATTTTACCTCCAATCTGAAAATGGCAAAACTGAGACGCCCAGGTTTCCAGACTTTTTAATCCAAGGCTCTTTCAACTAAATTGCATTGTGTCTATTCAATTTTCCTCATCCAAAAGGTCTGGCATTTTTTTTTCCTCCTTCACTCAAATGGGACTCTCTGGTAACATCAATCAAATGGACATTCATCTGCCCATCTAGAAGTATTCCCCCTCTCTTTAACACAAGAGCTGGAGAAGGCTTGTTTTTGCTCCATCTCTTCATTTCTCTAAAGCTCAATGATGGCCACTGCACATACCGAGCACCACATCTCTCCATCCATGGGCAAGGCCCTTCCACTCTCAAACTCAGTATCAATCTGCAAAAGCTGCAAACTTTCAAGGGCCATTTCTTCATCTCCGTCTTCCAGGCTGACTTCTTGCCTGTTTGGCAAGCAGGATTCAGAGCGGGGGGAAGACCCTTCTGGTTTGTGCTCCATGTCTTTAATCAAGCTGCTTGCTTTTCCTACAGAGGACAGTCTGCAGAAAGGGAACAATTTTCAAGACACTGCATAAAATCATTGAAACTGGTATTCACCAGTCTGTACCCACCAGTCTAGCTGAAGCAACAGAGTACTCCAAGGGAGGAAGAAACGGGAGGCAGCATACGCCAAGCAAGTTAAGTCCCGACCACTACCCTATACCCTGACAAGTGTAGCGCAAACCACCAGATCTGCTTCTAGCCCACCCTCCCGGTCATCATTACCACCAGGAAGAACTGCCGAACAAGGGCCACCACCCGGAGATAAGCACATGTGCCCTAGGAGTGACACCTCTATGGCTGATATTTACATAGCACTTACTATGTGCCAGACACAATGCTAAGCACCTTACAATTATTTTCTCATTGGAGCCCCACGACCTTGAAGATAGCTGGTATTATTATTCCCATTTTATAGATGAGGAAATTGAGGCAAACCAAGGTTAAGTGACTTGCCCAGGATCACACAGCTAGTGACTGAGGTAGGATCTGAACTCAGGTCTTCCTAGCTCCAAGCCTGGTACTCTGTCTACTACTAACCCACCCCACCCCCAGACCCTTTAGTTCTGCTTCCAGGTCAGCCTGTATAGGGAAGAAACTCCTGTGGAGAAGAGGCCAGTCAAACCCGTCAGATGTCAAACACCTGCTACACTCAGGGCAAGCCAGCCTGCCTAGCTGAAGCAGAGGGGCATCCTGAGAGTGAGGACACAGCATGCACCAGTGGAATCTTGACCACTGCCACACTGACCCAAAAGCCTTGGGAATAGCAAAGTTTCCAACCTAACACCCTCAGCCATCATCCTTGGAAACAACCTCTGCTGAGATGTCAAGGACTGCAGCCATGGCTACTGAAGACCCAGGAGAGTTCTTGCCCCTTGAGTCCTTGGCACTGTGAAATGGTTTAACACGAGAAAATGATATGACTTTTGTCAGTGGAAGCAACCCAAAAGGAGAGGCTTTGCTGCCGTACCTTAGGTACCACGGAACCTTTCCGTCTGACTTGTAGCTGAAACCTCCCATAAGTGTGGTGTCCCCTATTAAAATGAGAGCTCCTTGAGAACAGGGAGTAACTTTTTTCTTTGTATATCCCCCAGTGCTCAGCACTGTACTTTGCACATAGTAATTGCTTAATAAATCCATTCATCTTTCCTTCTTTCCTTCTCTCCTTCTTCCTTTCTCCTTCTTTCTTTACTACTTTCCTTCCCCTCCTTCCTTTCTTCCTTCCTGCCTTCTTTCCCTCATTCATTCATAAGTCCAAATTATTTTGTGAACACAGCCTGCTAAATAACAGATATACAATGCAGGATTACAATGTAAACAAGCAGTAAACAACACTGTCAAAAACTTGACTATTGACACTAATTGATACATGCATTTTATTTTTAAAAATTTTTTTAAATTAATTTATTTTGATTTATCAACAATCACTTCCATATGCTTTTGAGTTGAAAATTTTTCTCCCCCTTCCTCCCCCCCACATGCATTTTATTTTTGATAGGTTCTCACTTTCATTTCCTAATATATCCCATCTCTACTCAATGAGCAACACCTTGTAACAAAAGATTTTAAAAAGGGGGGGGAAGCAGTTCAGCAGAAATAAGCAATATGTCTGCTAACAAGCCTGACATTTATGTAATGTTCCACATCTACAGTCCCCCACCTCTAAAAGAAAGGAGGGAACTTAATGATATATCTATGTTCCTATTTAGCCACACACACACACACACGCGCGCGCGCGCACGCATATATATACATATATATAAAATATGTATTTTTCTATATCTATATGTATATACATACATGTACAGGCTATATATGTATGTATATACACATATATCTCTCTGTATCTATCTACCTACCTACGCCACTTTGGGCATTTACCTCTGGTGCTCACCTAAGATTCACCCTCTCTTTCTCTCCTGTTTTTCTTTTTCCCTGAGGGCTACCTAGATACAACAGAAGTCCATTACACTAGGAAAGCAAGCCTCACTGCCATTCTCCTTTCTTAAGGCAGCTTTTTAAGACTACAAAAAATTTAAAGTAAATGGCAAGAACCACCATAAAACAATAAAATTGTGGCAAAATTATACAGAACAAATATGTCCCCAGAGAAGAGATAAGACCCCACTCTTTGCAGAGGTGAGAGGTTCACGGCGGTGGTATTTTGCTGAAATTTTTGGATGTGTTGATCAGTTTTGCTTTTTCCTCTTCCCCTTTTTCTTTTTGAATAAATGTCATTTGTTACATGAGATGTCTCTCTAGGGGAGAACAGGGGAAGAATACTTACAGAAGTTCTGGTGATGGAAAAAAACATTTCAATAACATTTATTTTTAAAACACATACATATATGTATGTGTATATATATACATATATATCCTCAACATATGTTTTAAAAAATAAATTGCATATAAATGTTACTATACGGATATACACATGTATGTGTATGTACACATATGCATATGTGACACATATGTGAAAATCTAGCAGTGAACGGTCTAAAACCCAGCACCCTTCAGCACGTGCTCCCAGGGAGCAAAGACCCGGGCCACGTGACCAACCAAAGCAAACCGAAAAGGCCAAACGTCCCCAACCGCCAGGAAATGCAAACCCCAGCAGGGGGCGCCGCACTCCGCGGGAGATTCACCTTAGCCCCGCCCCATCCGCCTTTTTTAGCCCTGCCCCCTTCCCCTAACTCTCACCCTTCACATCTCACCGAGAATAGCACCGGAAGATAGCTCTGAGATCCGTCTTCTCGAGTTTCCGCAAAGAATACAGAACCTCCCTGTAAGCCCTGGGACACAGAAGCCTCTAGAGGGTACGTCCCTTACTACAGCACCATACACATACGTCCAACAGCAGTCAAATCACCACCATACCCTTCCCCCCGCCTCTCTTATGTCACTTCCGTTCCCCGAGCGCCTCCTGCAATGTGCATTCTGGGAGTTGTAGTTCAACGCGTGTTCTTTGTTATATTTTCTCTAGCCTGGGTGAAATAACCATAAATGTCGAATTAGATGGTGACACATCGTTAAACATAAAAATGCATTTAACCCTAAGAGACAGGGCAGCAGTAGAGAGGTACGTAGCGAGGAAGGGAGCAAATTCAAGTCACACAGTCCTGCTTCATTTAAAACCTGCGGAGTATTGGGGTATGAGAGAGCTTCTCCCTTTATCCTAAATAGCAGTCAGTCAACAAGCATTTATTAAGCACCTACTGCGTGCCAGGCAGTGTGCTAAGGTCTGCGGATACAAAGAACGGTTAAAGACAGTTTCTGCCCTCAAGGCGTTCACAATCCAAGGGGGGGAGACAACATGCAAAAAATATGTACAAATAAACTACATACAGGATAAATTACAAATAATCAAGAGAGGGAATGCACTAGAATAAACGGGTGTGTGTGTGTGTGTGTGTGTGTGTGTGTGTAAAGGCTTCTTGGAGAAGGCAGGATTTTGGTTGGGACTTGACTAGGGAAACCAGGAGGCCGAAATGAGGAGGAAGAAAATTCTAGGCATGAGACCCTTTTCCTGGTGGCAAAATATTGGAAATTGATGGGATGCTCATCAATTGGGGAGTGGCTGAACAAGCTGTGGTATATGAATGGAAAGGAATACTATTGTGCAATAAGAAATGATGAGCAGGCAGACTTCAGAAAAACCTGGAAAGACCTACCTGAACTGATGCAAAGTGAAATGAGCAGAATCAGGAAAACATTGAACACAGTACCAGGCATGAGGAATTACCAGTGGCAATGCCCCTCCTCCAGAAATGAAGTATCTTATTTGAGGAACAGCAAGAAGGCCAGGGTCACTGAATCACAGAGCATGAAGGTGGGGTATATGGTGTAAAGAGACTAGAAAGGTAGGTGGGAACCAGCTTATGTAGGACTTTGAATGCCTAACAGAGGATTTTGTATTTGATCCTAAGGTGAGAGTGCTGGAATTTGATTATGTGTGTGTGGGGGGGGTGACATGGTCACATCTAGGTTTTAGGAAGATTGATAGTTGAGTAGAAGATGGACAAGGATAGGGAGAGACTTGAGGAAGGGAACTCAACCAGGGACCTTTGCAATGTCCAGGTATGAGATGTAGAGAGCCTACGTCAGTGTGGTGCCAGTGTCAGAGGAGAGGAGGAGGAAGAGGAGAATAGGAGAGATGTTATGAAGACAAAAATGACAGGCCTTAGCAACAGATTGGATATGGAGGGTGAGAGAGAGAGTTGAAAATGGCAGCTAGGTTGTAATCCTGAGTAACTGGGAGGATGATGGTACCCTTAACATTCACAGGAAAGTTTTGGAAGGTGAGAATGAATTGAGAGAAAGATAATCAGTTCAGTTTTGGACATGTTGAGTTTTATATATCTACAGGACAGCCGATTTGAGTTGTCTAATAAACAGGTGAAGTTAGGAGTCTGGAGATCATCGAGAGATTAGGGCTAGATAGAGAAATCTGAGAATCATAGCATAGAGGTGATAATTGAATCTCTGGGAGCTGATAAGATCATTAAGCAAAATAATATAGAGGGAAAAGAGAAGAGAGAGCAAGACAGATCTCTGAGGGGCTCCTACATTTAATGGGCATGGTATGCATGAAAGTACAGCAAAGGAGACAGAGAAGGAATGGTCATCCAGGTAGGAGGAGAACCAGAGAACGTACTGTCACAGAAACCTAGAGAGAAGAGAGTATGAAGGACAAAAGGGTAATTGACAGGGTCAAAGGCTGGGGAGAGGTCAAGAATGAGGATTGAGAAAAGGCCATTAGATTTGGCAATTAAGAGATCATTAATAACTTTGGTGAGAGCAATTTCAGTTGAATGATGAGGTCAGAAGCCAGACTATAGACAGTTAAAAAGAGAGTGAGAAAAAAAGGAAATAGAGGAGTTGATTGTAGATGGTCTTCTCAGCCCCAGAAGGGAGGAGAGATATGGATGATAGTGGGGATGGACATACAGATCAAGTAAACTTTTTTGAGTATGGGGGAGATAGGCATCTTTTTAGGCAGCTGGGAAGCAGTCAATAGACAGGAAGCAACTGAAAATTAGTGAAAGAGTGGCGATGGTGGAAGGAGCAATCTGGTAGAGAAGACTGAATGGAATAGGATCATTTGTACATGTGGAGAGGATAGTCTTGGCAAGGAGAAGGGCCACCTTTTCATGTGAGACAGGGGTGAAGGAAGAGATGTCACGTGATATGAAATGAGAAGGAAGGGAGAAGAGGGAGCTGTCTGTGAATGGTCTCAATTTCTTTTCAGTGAAATATAAGGCAAGGTTTTCACCTGAGAGGGAGGGGGAAAGTGGAGCTATAGAGATTTGAAGAGGGATGAAAATGTCTAGAAAAACCCAGTGTGGTGAGTGTTATGGTGAATTAATTAAGGATGAAATGATAGAAGAATTGCCTTGCTGCAATAGGGGCCCATGAAGTTGTCTAATACAAATTTGTAGTGGACATAGTCAGAATGGTTGTATTATTTTCTCCAGCTTCATTTTGCAGTACATGAGTAGAAGCAAGGGCAATGGATGGCAGGGCAAAATCAGCAGGATAAGGGGCAAGGGGATTGAAAGAAGTGGATAGTACAGATTTGAATTGGTTCAAGTTTCATGGTGTAATGAAGAACATAATTTGGGTTCCCAAAAGGCCTTTGAGTAACCCTTGGTGTGATTAAATGAAGACCTTGGGCAAGTCACTTAACCTCTGCCTGCCTTAGTTTCCTTGTCTGTAAAAAGAAGATAAGAATAGCACTTACCTCCCCAGGTTGTTGTGAGGATCAAGTAAGACAATATTTTATAAGGGAATTTTTAAACTTTTAAGCGCTGTGTAAATACTAGTTGTTGCTGTTGTTGTTATCAGACCTTTACTGAGACCTGTTTGAGACACTCACTACAATAACTGGGAGGGTAGCAAGGTCCAAATTCTCCCAGGATTTCTCGCAGCACTTCCAGTCCTACAGCTGCAGGGGCCTTCCTTGTAGACAGTCTTCTTCCTTCTCCAAGAAGCATGCTGTTGAGAAAACCACCTCCTTCTACTTGGGAACAATTAAATTGGGAATGACCCATGTAATCTGAGTTCCAGAGCTCATTGGTTTGGGACTCTGTCTTCATGAGTAGAGAACAATGCTCTGTGTCTATGTGAGGGATGGGGTAGAGCTGGTAAAGATAGGGAGAGGAGGAGTGCCCTTCAGTCTCACAAGGCCTAGAATCCTTGTGCTTTTCAGAAAAGGAATGAGAAAGATGAAAGGCAGCCAAGTACTGGAAGCCCATGATCTCCTCTCTCAGGTCCCCTGGGTAAACAAATGCGACTTGCCAGCCACCATTAAATGCCTGGAGGACCCATAGCCTCTCTGGATCTTTGTTCTTCTATGGAAACACACACAAAGGAAAAATAGAAGCAAAGGTCCTAAAAGTGGAATGAATGCCTGCCAGCTTGCTTATGACCACGGTGGGTCTCTGTGCATCCTTCTGACTCTCAGTCACCAATCAGATCGTAGGAACCACAAGTCCCTAGGAACCAATCAGAAGAATGTCCACTGTCTTTTCTGAAAGATAGCATATACACCTAACAACGATGGGAGCTTTCCTTTCAGATGCCTGCAAAGGACCATGTCCTTTACGCTCAGCCAATTGATCAGGGGCTCCCCAAATCAACATCCTTTACATTTTACTTCTATCATTGCTATTATAAACAGTCATCTTTATATCTCATACATGCACCTAGGCATGTTAATTCCTAGATTCTTTGTTACTGTTACGAAACTTTAAAAAATATTATTTTCTTAGTCTTTGTTGGTTTCATTATATTATGCATTTGCCTCCTAAAACATTTGAACTTATTTATTGTTTAAATTTATGTCACTGAAGGATGGATGTTTTTTTTTCAATTAACCAGCATTTATTTTCTCTCCCTCCCACTACCTACCTTCACTGAGGGAAAAGAAGAAGAAAAAAACCCCTTGTAACAAATGTACATTGTCAAGAAAACATATTGGCCATGTTAAAAAAATGTGTGTTTCATTCTGCGTATTTGTCCATCGCCTCTAGCAGGAAGTGGACAGCGTTCTTCCTCATTGGTCAGAGTTCTTAAGTCTTTCACAGTTGTTCATTTTTACAGTGTTGTTATAGAAAGAATTGTTCTCCTATTCTCCTGATTTATTTCGTTCTGCATCAGTTTGTAGAAATCTTCCCAAGTTACTCTGAAACCATCCTCTCTATCTTGTCTTATTAACACAATAATATTCCACTATATTCATATACCATAATTCAACTAATCCCCTATTGATGAGTGCATTCTTAATTTCCAGTTCTTTTCCACCACAAAAGGACCTGCTATAAATATTTTTGTATACATAGGGCTGTTTCCTTTTTCTTGGTCTCTGGGTATAGGCCTTGTAATGATATGGTTGGTGCACAATGTATGTACAGTTTGGTAAATTTTGAGGTATTGGTTCATATTGCTTTCCAGAATGGTTGGATCCATTGACAGCTCTATCAACAGCACATTATTTCCCCAAAGCCTCCAAGCAAACGGGGTTAAGTGACTTGCCAGGGTCACACAGCTAGTAAGTGTCTGAGGCCAGATTTGAACTCAGAAAGATGAGTCTTCCTGACTCCAGGCCCAATATTCTATACACTGTGTCACCTAGCTGCCTAAACATAGGATTATATAGATATATATTTAGAGATAGATGGGATCTTAGAGGTAATCTAGTCTAATCCTCTCATTGTATAGTTAAAGAAATTGGTCTTTTCTGCATTTATTGATCTGATTTATAATTTATATTTTTCTTGTCAATATATTATATTTATTTTCTTAATAAGTAGATTTGCATACCTAACATTTTTCCTATGAGATTACTATTATGTTTGCTATATTTTATTTGCTAATGTTTTGCTTAATATTTTTACATCTATATTCTTTTGAGATTGCCTTACAATTTTATTTCGAGTGTCATCTTTATCAACCTTTAGAATAGAGGCTGTATTTATCTGAGAAAAAGAGTAGAGTAGCAATTCCATCTTTCTCTACAATTAGAAAGTCTATATGGCAGTTGCCAGTGATGAAGATCACAACCCACTCATACCTCTTAACCTGTGTAATAATTGTTCATATCCTTCCATAAGTTTGCCACAGAGGGTCCATCCAAGGTATTCAGGTGCTTCCTCGATTTCTCCTGATACTATGAGGATACCAAAGAAGCCCACCTTTTCTTTCTATCATACTTTGTGCTAACGATATCCATTATTAGACTTTCTTTGAATTTTCCTTATTTTTTATATATTATATCCAGTTCATACCCACCTTGAGTCTCACCATTTACCTTTGTGTGATAGTAATTTTTAATCCTTTGGAGACTATTATGTTCAATGACTCACAGTCATTTACAACACTAATAGAATATTGGTGTTAAAAAAAATAACCAAGGGTTTTTATTTATGGAAGAGGTTTGGTGTGATGGAGGCAATCGGATAGAGAGTGGTTGGGCGGTATAGTTAAAAAAAAGCGTAGAGAGCGGCACTTGGAATTAGGAAGCTGTTGAGTCATTTTTCAGTCGTGTCTGACTCTTTGTGACCCCATTTGGGGTTTTCTTGGCAAAGATACTGGAGTGGTTTGCCATTTCTTTCACCAGCTCATTTTACAGATGAGGAAACTGACGCACACTGGGTTAAGTGACTTGCCCTGATATGAGGCCAGATTTCAACTCAGATCTTCCTGACTCCAGGCCTGCTCTATCCACTGTACCACCTACCTGCTTTGGAGTTAGGAAGACCTGAGTTTAAATCTTGAATCATAATTATTAGCTGTGTGACCGTGAGCAAGTCATGAGGCTGGATTCAGTGGACTCTAAGACCCCTTCCAACTTTAAATCTATGATCCTTTGTTCGCTGAAGAGACTTTGCTATTTCCTAAGAGCAACAACCCAGGCTGCTGTCATCCTCCTGTTAAATTCTGGGTCCAACTTGTCAATTTGTACTGTCTTTGAAATGCACATAACTGATGGTAGGCTCTATAGGTTGTCATAATCTAGGCAGCAGACATTTTTCAATTTTCAGTCTTATAAGACTGTATTTCAACAAGTTGTATACTGTAACTATCTACATTATTCAAGATTTCCTGAAAGGTACTACATAGACAACCTTGTTGGACAACGCTCTGATCAGAAATATCAGGCAAGGCATGAAACAAGGGCAGCTAGGTGGTACAGTGGAGGGAGTGGCTGGGCCTGAGGTCAGGAAGCCCTGAGTTCAAATGTGGCCTCAGACGCTTTCTAGCTGTTTGACCCTGGGCAATTCACTTAACCCTGTTTGCCTCAGTTTCCTCATCTGTAAAATGAGCTGGAGAAGGAAATGGCAAACCACTCCAGCATCTCTGCCAAGAAAACTCCAAATACGGTCATGAAGAGTCAGACACGACTGAAAAATGACTTAACAGCAACAAGGCATAAAACAGGGACATATATGCTTGCCAAAAGTATTCTCTATAGTGATGAAAGAGAGTGAACATCGAGTTCAAGTTGAATTGGAATTCTCTATGTGTGGTGGGTTTGTATAGATGTTCTTATTTTTGGATTTCATTGTTTGGGTTGGGTTATTATGGAACATTGCAAGAAGAAATCTATAACCTCTCAAAAGAATTTGACCCACTCAGCGCTGATACTTTTTGCCTATACAAACTGCTTTGGCTATATCTCATAGATTTTCATAAGTGGTATTCACATTATCATCATTTTTGTTTTCTTTTGTGAAGATTTTTTTTTGTTTTTCATCCATTCACTCTTGTCTTTCTTTTTAAGGTGTTTTATTGATGCCTTTTGTCTTTACAGTCATTTCAACTTCTCCTTTTCCCTTCAGGTTGAACCTTCCCTGGTAACAAAGTAAAACAATTTAATAAAAGCATCAGGTACAGAGATCACATCTGACAAATATACAGCCCTATGTACCAGGAGTCCGCCTCCTCTCTTCCAGGAGAGGGTAAGTATATTTCATTATTTATTCTTTCTTTGTTTTTTTGCAAGGCAATTGAGGTTAAGTGACTTGCCCAGCGCCACACAGCTAGTAAGTGTTATGTGTCTGAGAACGGATTTGAACTCAGGTCCTCCTTACTCCAGGGCCGGTACTCCATCCACTGCGCCACCTACCTGCCCCTTCATTATTTATTCTTCAGGACCTTTATTAGTTGAAAAACCAAAACTGAAAAGTTGCTCACTGTTCACCTTCCTTTGAGTGATCTTTTAATTTACATTGAATCATGAATCTTAGCTCTGCTTATTTTGCTCTGTTTCAGCTCACAGAAATCTCACATTTTCCCCAGTTCCTCATATTTATCATAGATATACAACAATATTCCACATTATTATTTCATATATTTATATTATGTCATATACAATATAATATATGATAATATTTCACACTTGCATTCATATACTAAAAAAATTTTTAAACTATCTCTCAATTGGGGCACCCACTTTGTTTATAAATCTGCTACCACACAAGGATTGATAAGTATTTTGGTACATGTTTAACCTTTGTTTCTGTATTGGACTTCCTTAAGGTGTGTATATGTGTGTGTGTGTGTGTGTGTGTGTGTGTGTGTGTATTCTCTTACCATAGTCTTTACAGCATTGTTTATTCCTGATTTTTTTTGGTCATTTTTGCCAATTTACAAAGGGTGAGGTGACACTTGAGTTGCTTTAATTTGCATTTTTTCTTACTATTAATGATTTGGGATACATTTTTTGGTGGTCATTTATAGTCTTCTATTCTTTTGAAATCTGTTTATTTGTATCTTTGGACCACCTATCTATTGGAGAATGGCTCTTAATCTTAAACATCAGGCGCTCTGCCCAAAGAAATATAAATCTTGATTGTTGAAGCCTGCAGGATATCTTGGGGTTTACAGGCTAGATTTCTTTCTTAAGGACCATGCCTATCTGTCCATCCTAGCACATATTGCAAGATATCTGATGATACTAATAATTTTGCTATTATGACCAGATGAAAATTCTCATAATTTGCTGCTGTGCAGATCTTTGTGATTTGCAATACCTTTATCACATCCTGAAGTTCTTGAACCTGCATATTACTAACATGATAGAATGTCACAAATGTATCTTTGACTTTGATTTTCCCTCTTTGTTAGATAAACATCCTATATTTAATTTGTAACTTTAATACAAACCTTGTAGTCTTAGGTAATTCCTTTTTTAAATTTAAAAAATTTTTTTTTGCTTTTTGGTGAGGCAATCAGGGTTAAGTGACTTGCCCAGGGTCACACAGCTGTAAGTGTCAAGTATCTGAGACTGCATTTGAACTCAGGTCCTTTGACTCCAGGGCCAGTACTCTATCCACTAGGCCACCTAGCTGCCCTGTTAATTCCTTTTTTAAAAAATTATTTATATGATGAACTTATGCAATAACATTTTAATACACAAAGAAGAAAAAAGAGTATTGTATATGAAAATGTAAACTTTCATAACAAAGTCTGGTTTTTTAAGTATTAAATTTAACCTAGTAGTAACAAGACAGCTCTGCTTGCCTGGGTTTCCTTCTGAATTTTGCTAGGCTCCTTTCTATTTATTCTTTAAATGTTTCATCAGTGCTTTTTTACTCTTTTCTGTTTTCTTTTTTTGCATCACTATCACTACCCACCCCCAAAACCCCAGAAGTCTTGGACACTATTAATCACCCTTTTCTCCTGGATATTCTTTCCTCTCTAAACTGTCATGACTCTACTTTCCCACTTCCCTTCCTACCTGCCTGGCCATTTTTTCCCAGTCTTATTTGCTGATTTTTTAGCAGGTTATTCGAATTAATTCTAGATGAGCCCCAAGGCTCTTAGGTCCTCTTCTTTTCTCTAAACCAGTGGTTCTCAAACTTTTTGGTCTCAGGACCACTTTACACTCTTAAAAGTCATGGTGGATCCCCCAATGAGTTTTTATTTATGAGTTATATCTATTTTTTATTTATTATTATTATTTTTTGCTTTTAGGCAATTGGGGTTAAGTGACTTGCCCAGGGTCACACAGCTAGGAAATGTCAAGTGTTTGGTCTGAGGCCGGATTTGAACTCAGGTCCTCCTGACTTCAGGGCTGGTGCTCTATCCACTGCACCACCTAGCTGCCCCCCATGAGTTATATCTATTGATGTTTACCATATTAGAAATAGAAACATCTTAGTATTATTATGAAAATATAGTTATTCATGCACATTGCAGGGGTGAGGGGCATGGTTCCTGTAATCTGGAAAAGCCCATGTAAAATTTTTGGTCCTCCCTTCATACCAGAGAAGAAGTCTGAATTTTTCTTTTTCTTTTATGGGGTGTTTACAGTACCTTATTGTAAAATTTGGGCTAAGTATTTGATCATAGGCTTTGTGTCATCTGCTGCTTCCACAAAACTCCCCCCAAATCCCCATTTAATTTCTTATGCCAACCAGTTATATCTCTAAATCATGATGGGGAAAGTCATAAAGCAGAAGGGATAACTGTAGTTTTGACCTCAAAAATCCCGTGAAAGAGTTTCAGGAACACCAAAGGATCCTTGGGACACACTAAGAGAACTGCATCTCTATGTACTATTTCATTTGGTGATCTCCAGTTTTCATCTCTATGCAGATGATTCCCAGATCTATTTATACAGTCCTGACCTCTCTCCTGACCTCCAGTTCTCACATCACCATTTGCCTATTGGACATCTTGAACTGGATCTAAACAGACATTTAAAACTAAACATATCCAAAATACAGTTCATGATCTCTTCCCCAACAGCCTGTCCCCTTCCCAGCTTTTCTATTACTGTTGAGAGCACCACCATTTTCCCAGTCACCCAAGCTTGCAACCTTGGTGTCATCCTCAACTCCTCAATTTCACTCACACAACGTATTCCATCTGTCATCACATCTTATTATTTCACACTTGATCCCATAAATATGAATTCCCACCACAGCTGGCTCCCTGATGGAGACCTTCAAGGATGGGGATGAGGTTCCTAAACCCATTGATTTGGTAGACTGGATTTATGCAGGAGGGTTCCGGCCAAACACTGCCATATACCTATGACCTAACTGCTTCAGGGGCTTTTATATAGTCCCCTTGGGTGGAGCCCCACAAGAATTAGCTATGGATCTCTCTCATAGCTAATGACTATACCAGAGTGGGCTAATTAGTTGGTCAAATTTGAGCAAGAAGTCAGGGTAAGTTGTGACTTGGACAAATACTTCTGTCAGTGCCAGTTGGCAGTTATTAAGCACCTACTATGTGCCACACACTTTACAAATACTATCTTATTTGATCTTCACAACAATCCTGTGAGATAGGTGGTGTTATTATTCTCACTTTTACAATTGAGGAAACTGAGGCACACAGCAGTTAAGGGTCACACAGTCAATACATGTCTGAGGCTACATTTGAACTCAGGTCTTCCTGACTTCATGCCCTTTGTGACCTAGCAATGACATTCAAAGATGTGGCTGTGGATTTTACTAAGAAAGAGTAGGGCTATTTAAGCCCTGGTCAGAGGGAGTTGTAAAGGATAAGATACTAGAGAAATACAGGAACTAGGTCTCTTGGGAATTTGTTTTCTTTCAAGATGAAGCTCAGCTACCACCTTTTACAGGAAGCCTTTCCAGATACCGCAACTTCTAGAGCAGTCCTTTCCTAATTAGCTTACATTTAATTATCTTGAATTTATTTGTTTTTATTCTATTGATATTTATTCTGTATATATTTGTCTCCCTTCCTAGAATGTAAATTCTTTGGGAGTGGAGCTGGCTTTGTTCTTTGTATTTATAGCCTCAGTTCATGGCACTTGATACGGGCTTGATTGACTAATTGGTGGGTGTTTTCCAGAAGGATGCTACAAAGCATTGCTAAAGATTCCAGAGTCTTGGATGGGAAATTGAAGACCTCGGGGGCACAAGTGATGGGAGACACACACAGCCTGCAGATGGAAGGGAGGCAGCTGAGGAGAAAGAAAAGAAAGCAAAAAATGCCTAGTTCATACCAGAATTAGTGGCATAAATCATTCCCCCTTAGCTGTTCCTATTCAGTGCCCTTAGTGGAAGCAGCTGCAAGAAGCATTTCACTCCTGGTGCATCTGGCTCAGGTCATACCAGAGTTCCCCTCAATAGTCCCTCTGGGTCCCAAAGGAAACGAACAAGGTTCTTTTACTGTTCCAGGAAGTCTGTGGTGGTGATGCAGACCTTTATGGGCAATGGAGATTCAGCATTTGTCCATCGAACAAATCACTAGCATCACTTTCCCATTTCCCCAGCCTGCAATGCTGTGGGACAGTGATGAGTGACCCAGAATGCTGTAGCACCTGGAAATCTAGGAGGTCATGGTTTGGAAAATGATTTCATCTAGTGTTGCCTGCTTGATTTGCCTTATTTCGCTGGCTATTCTGCTTAATTAAATATCTGCTTTTTGAGTTAGTGTGTCCTGTGGTTTGGTCTGGTAAAAAAGCTTATGAACTGGAGTTTTGGATAGGTACAGAAGCAAAGTGTGCCTTGAACCTGGGGGTAGTTTTAATGAGTCTATTTAATAAGCAATATTGTTCAAAGAATAACTGTGAATTACTAAGCTATTCTGAGTATTATAAATATTCAAATCAACTACAAAGGAAGGAAGATGTTGTCCAGCTCCAGAGAAAGAACTGATAAATAGAAGTATGCATAGTATGGTTTTAAATATACATGTATACACACACACATAGATATATATTTGTGTCAAATGATGGCCTTCTTTAGTGTAGGGTGGGGAGAGAGGGAGGGAAACGGTTCAGAACTTAAAACATAACAAAAAATAAATAAAATTAAATTTTACAAAGTTGCTGGATACAAAATAAACCCACACAAATCATCAGCATTTCTATATATTACCAACAAAGTCCAGCAGCAAGAGATAGAAAGAGAAATTCCATTTAAAATAACTGTAGTGGGGGCAGCTAGGTGTCGCAGTGGATAGAGCACTGGTC